TTACCGCTCAATGTGACTCCAGCCTTAGAGATATGCCTTCAACTTCAATTTCATTATCGCTCGAGTCGGAACTGTCATCGAACTTTCATCATTTTTCTGACTCCAGCCTAAGGGCCAATTTCACCAACGTCGGTTAAGCTAACCGACGGTTAATTCCAATGGAATTATCCAACAATTTCACCAACGTCGGTTAAGCTAACCGACGGTTAATTACAATGGAATTATCCAATCGCATTTGCCTTTGACCAGAATGAACCAATTACGGTTGACACTTTAACCGTTGGTTAGCTCAACTGACGTTGGTGAAATTGGCCCTAAGTGATATACAGAAAATATTTTGGTAATTGTTCACTTTAGGGGAGCCACCTCCAATGATCTTGATCTTGACATATGTTGTCAAGGTCATGACCCTGAGTAACCTCCAACAAGTTTTAGCCGTCGCTCGCCCTTCGTTAAAAGTTATTAACAATCATAGTTCTAAAATTAACATATGATATATAATATATGTATGCTATTATATATATATATATATATACACATACTATTCTACACCTTTCCTTGTCCAGGAACATTAAACTTTCCACGCGAAGTAACTTTTACCACAGTATATACAGTAGCGCAACTCTCCCCATTTCATGTTGCCTAAAATAGAGTGCGCATGCGCGAAATATGGCAGTTACTAGACTATGCCTTTCTCTTTTCATCCTTTTTTTGCTCTGTTAAACCTATTTATTTAGCGCATGCGCACTCTATTTCCGCCAACATAAAATCGGGAGAGTGCGTTACTACATATAGGGGCTGTCTTCCCATAGTCCCTTTGCCAGTCAGTAAAATAATATTGCTAGGATGACGTCATCTTACTGACTGGAGAAGTGTTCCCATCAGTGTTGCCACATCGAGGGATTTATCCCTAGATTCGGGGATTTTGAAGGTTATCTGGGATCGAGGGAGGGATTCGGAGAATTTTAATTTATAGGGGGATTTTATATGGTTCCCGTAAGTAATAGATCGCGACATCGCCAATCCACGCCAATCATTCTTTCAATAACAGGGGGTCTATTCTTGAAAAGAAACGTATACGAAAAATTAGGAAAATACTATAGTATACGTTACGTATACTATAGTATTTCCCTAGACTTTCGTATACGTTTCTTTTCAAGAATAGAGCCCCAGTTAATGGCCCCGTTAGGGCCATTCGGGGGTATTTCCGTAATCACTGCTCGGCAAGCGATTGGGTGTGGTTAATTAAATCTATACGAAAGATCAATCATGTTCATTTGCTCGGCGAAGAAGTTATTAGGTGCATCCAGAAGTATGACCGCTCACTTAGCGCTCAATGAGCTTTTTTATCTAATTGGCATATTCCATTATGTAGGATTCACACTGCGTCCGACATCCGACATACGACGTCCGATATCCAATAGGAGAGCTTATTTTCTTGATATATAGCTAACAATATTTTGTAACAAGCTCTGCTATTGGATATCGTACCGTCGTACTACTTCGGATGTCGTACGCAGTGTGAATCCTACATTAGATCTAAAAATATAAAACAATGTATGAAATAATAACTTTTTATATTAAATAATGTATTTATATTAAATAATAATTTTTTATATTCAATAATGTATTTATATTAAATAATAACTTTTTATATTCAATAGTAGGTCTGTTTTCTGTGGCTGAACTAGTATACACTTTTAGAACTTAAAGTGAGATAGGTATATGTTTGATATTTGTAGAAAGCGAGAAAGAGAGTTCTAGTTCAGTCTAGTGCAGGAACAGAAAACAGACCAATTGTATGCGAAACAAAAGAATAAAAGATATGTATACTAAAAAGAAGGTCGTTATATAGATTTGTGGTTGAGGGATTTTTTGAACGCGTAGGGATAAAATTTCGGGATATTCCATTTTTAAATGTGGCAGCACTGGTTCCCATTCTCGCCAGTAAAAAGTGACGTCAGGATTTGTTGCGTTTCTATGCCCTATGCTTTCTACAGTTTTCGTTTCATATTACAGTTTGATTTCATATTTCGTCATCAGTGATCTTCATTGAATAGGTAAGTAAATAATATGTATTCCATGTAGCAATGTTTACTTGCAACTCTGTAATATTTCGGTACCCATGTCTTAAAATAATTGATCCCGGCGACTAAAGAGGTTAGACAACGATTTCGTTCCGGTACCGAAATATTACAGAGTTGCAAGTAAACATTGCTACATGGAATATATATTATTTACTTACCTATTCAATGAAGATCACTGATGACGAAAATATGAAATGAAACTGTAATATGAAACGAAAACTGTAGAAAGCGTAGGGCATAGAAACGCAACAAATCCTGACGTCACTTTTTACTGGCGAGAATGGGAACACTTCTCCAGTCAGTAAGATGACGGCTGCTTTCGATCAAGGCTTTTAGGCGACACACATCGACACAGTGTCGACACGATTCGACACAGCAGAAAAGCATAGTCGGACACTCTTGGTTATGGTTCGGTTGGCGCTTTAGAATATTTACATTTTAAATATATGTACGATATAAGAAGTACGTTCATAAGTCATCTGGATTATTTTAATGTAAAAAATAATATCTACGCATAAGATTATTATCCAACAAGAGACACAGAAGTGACACGGTGTGACACGGCAATCGTTGCATCCTCGTCGTTCGCTAATGTTAAATAAAGATGAGGTGATTGCTGTGTCGTAGATGGAAAGCAACCGACGTCACTCTAGTAATTTACTGACTGGCAAAGGGACTATGGGAAGACAGCCTTGAAGATCGGGTCTAATTGTAAAGTAATTTTTGATGATTTTCGGTTTACTACACCTATTTGTACTACACCCACTACACTCGAGCTTTGTTCGTTTTCACAATGTGTAAATCTATTGAATTACAAAATAGCGACTTTTCCCAAATAAAAATAATAATGAAAACATTTTCCCCAAATGATTTCCGATCGATTCCATTCATAGAATTCATTTAATAAAATCACTGTCTGCTAACTTGTCGCATGAGAAAATTTGTTAATAACAAGAAAAATACTATTACCCAAATGTTTAAATGCTTTTCCCAAATTTCTCCAAACGATTCTCAAATTATATACACATAAATAAATAAAAAATATTCAGTTTGTCTGCTATCTTGTCAGTGGTCAAAGCGGCTAGGTACGCTTGCCGTACGATCAAATATGATTGGTTGGATCTATAAGAAATGATCAATTACGTTTAATCGCTCGGCAAGCGTACTTAGGGCTGAGCACAAGCACTGAGGTGCGTTCAGAAATTACACTCAGATAACTCTTGGGTGCATTTTTGATATAATATACGTAACGTAAACTATAGCCTAGAGTTTATGACGTGTTTATGACATGGCGTATGACGTGTTTATGTACATTATTGCCATATCTTTCAATAGCGTGCATAAACACGTCATACGCCGATACGCCAAAGTTTCTTGTGCGTTATTTACGTCTATAACTTAAGTTGTCGTAAAATGTTACGGCAGTGCTTGTGCTCAGACCCTTAGCCGCTTTGCCGTCTTGAACTCGCCCAATGCTTCGGTGGAAACTAGACCTGATTGATTGATTGACACAACTCTCTTACAGGGATTCTAGTCTAGAGATACTATTATGTTTATGGTATTTTGTATTTATAGCAGTTTCTCCTAAAATCTTAACTTGAATTTTAATGATTATTAGTATTTCGGTTCACAGAGCAGAGCGTCTCTTTTTTCTTATTTAATTTTTATTTTTACATGAAAATGCATTGATATAATGTATTTTTATGGAAATTTGGAGTGTTCTTAATATTTACCAAAGGAAATGGAATGTACTGAAGAAGATTGGACTGTAGAGTGTTCAGATGATGAGAAATATGAAGTGGATGAAAAGGTGAAATAGAATCAAATTTATTTGTCAATCTTTATATGTCAATCTTTAATTCTTTATTATCTTCAAATCCTCATTATTTATTTTCTATATATAATTTTGTTTAAAAGATTTTTTATATGAGGAGTAGACTTTCAAAATGTATTTTGTCCAAAATTTTATTTTGTTAGTTAGAAGTGGTGCAGTATTAAAAAACTCATATTATGATGAACTATAAAAGCTACTTTGAGATGTTCAGAAAACATTTCTTCATCGTTATTTTATATGCTGAAAAAAATATAGACATTTTGGAGATAGAGAGCATTATATTTTTTAACTAGAAACAAACAAAATGCATTTGTTCAACATTTTTAGCATTTGTTTACAGCAATTTTGTTTAATACGTCACATCCTATTGATTGACATATTGTTATTTTCTCTATAGTTTTCTTGTATGTATGTGTTTGTGTAGTTTCTGTTTTTCTCGTTTTCTAAAAATTACAAGTTTTTGACAAAATACATTTTGAAAATGCATAGTTTGCTCTTCATAAAACTGTATACATATATACCTAATTGTTTTTTTTTTCAGCTTAGTAATAAATATCTAACTTATATTAAAAACCTTCTCTCTCTCTCTCTCTCTC